CTTGCACTTTATTATACTAAAATTTAATGATCTCGAAAGCTGCATACCCAAAATATTTATAAAAAAAAAATTATATAATCAAATAAAAATTCAAAAATCAAGCTCAACCGGTCTTTGCAAGTTTTATAAGCTTTCATTACAAGATTAATCGAATTGATTGAAAAATGAAGGCTCCAGTGAATTATGAAAACCAAATGCCAGTTTTGAACCACTGTGCAGCAACTCTTAGCACTCGCCTTTGCTCAATATTATTCTTTAATCATACTTGTTGAGCGTTATTTTGATATGTATCTGCAAGACGATGTATTTATGTACATACATATGTACTTGCTGCTGCGCTGCATTTGTATGTACATATGTATGTACAAGTTCTAGCAAGATCGATGTTCTTCACTTAACTTTGATAAAATGAAAATAACGCCTATATACTACTCATAAACGTGGTTATTATCAGCAATATGTACTTATGTACATACATCTGTACATAAGTATGTATGTATGTATGTTGATTAAAATACGTATGCATCTGGCTCTTAGATAAAGAAATTACGATCTTTCATAAAATACAGATAAGCTTTTTAAGTGTAAAAACTGTAATTTGAATTGTAGATTGTGATCTCTTAAGCAGTGGCCATACTGTATATCCATTCTTTAATTAAAATCAAAAATTGTGTGAACAAAGTATACATACATACGTAACTTTCTCTTAAGGTATAACGTCGCCTGGATAAAAGATTGTCGTTGACGATTTTTTGTTATACATACAGTATCGGTCATATCTATAGCACGCCAATTCAAAGTGATATTGTGTGCCACTTATGTTTATTTATTTATTTTTAAGAATTTTCAATTAAAATTTAGTTCATTCTCAGACAAACCCCATATATACCCAAGTTTAACAATTTGTAGAAAACTTCAAAAAAGTGCAACAAAATTTCACTTAAATTTCAAACTTCTTTCTCGGAAGTGTTAGAATTTTTTTGAGTACACAGTTTTTTAACCCCTGCAATTTTAGTCTGATAATCTGCAAATTTCAAGTGGCTACGAATTACCGTTAATTTTTTAGATTTTTTTTTTGTCGCATTGGGTTCCATATCAATTATATAAATAGGCAATCATGTTTCCTTTACACCCCTTGCTAAACTGTACTTCTAAGGTATAAACAATTATATATCATTAGAAAGGTATTTTGATGCTGATGTGCAGGCAATTTTTAAAATTTCAAATTAGTTTAAAATAGAGCGAAAAAATCAATTCAAAAGTCACACCAATACCAATGCCATACATGTACATGGTTGGGGCAGAAATGCCTCCTAAATGTATGCTTTAATATTGATAGTGAATTAAAGAAACGTGCTAAGCAGCTGTTTAGGAATAAGATGTATGTATGTATGTACATGAATAGATTACCCTCAAACAAGGATGAAGATAATTTTGAGTATGGAGAAGAAAGGGATAAATACAGAAATTAAAATAAAAGAAAAGCAACCTAAATATAAAGACAAAGAGGAAGGAAAATTTAAATACCTAGCCTAATAACAATGGTGGGGGTGAATATGTAAATGAAGAAAAGAATGGACATATTTCGATCAGGATAAAGGAAAGGATAAAGATGAAGATGAAGATGAAGACCAAGACGAGGAAGAAGATGAAGATGAATATGAAGATAAGGATAAAGATAACTTATCTTAGCTTAACCCCTTAACTTAACTTAACTCACCTCAACTCATCTCACCTCCGCTTAAAAACTTACTCCACCTGAGTTCGCTACACATTAATTCACCACACCTTAACTCCCCACACCTAAATCCACCACTACTTCACTCCCCACACCTAAATTCACCACACCTTAATTCGCCAAACTTTAATTCACCACACCTTAACTCACCACACCCCAACTTTCTCACCACATCTTAACTCACCACACCTTAATCTACCACACCTTAATTCACCAGACCTCAACTTTCTCACCACACCTCAACTCACCACAACTAAATTCAGCACACCTCTTAAGACCACCACACCTGAATTCATAACACCGAAACTCCTACACCCAATTCCACCACACTGCAACTCACCACACCCAATTTCAACACATGACATGATATCACTAAAGAAACAATATAAAGAAAAAGAAGGAAAATTTAACTACCTAACCTAATAACAATGGTGGGGGTAAATACGTAAATGGAGAAAAGAATGAAGATATAGATCAGGATAAAGGAAAAGATAAATATGAAGACGAAGGTGAATATGAAGATGAAGATGAAGAGGAAGATGAAGATGAAGATGAATATGAACATGAACATGAACATGAACATGAAAATGAACATGAACATGAACATGAACATGAAGGTGTAGATAAACATAAACATTAAAAGCGATAGAGACAAAGATAGGGAGGAAGAAAGTGATAGGGATAAAAAGGAAATACAACTGAAGAATGTGCGATGTTATATTGTGATGTGTTATGCTACATATGTTATGTTATTGAATCTAATGCTATTCTATGTTATGTTATGCTAAGTACTAAGCTAAACTCCCCTCCACTTAACCCATTCCAACAAATTTTATTTCAGCTCAACTCAACTCACATAAACTATCCTTAATTTTAGCGGTTGAATTTCAACCGCTGGGCGAACACTAGTAATGAATAAACTCAATTTATTTGTATATGGAAGAAAACCGCAACACCTTTGGCGAAAAAAATTCTAAAAAATCAACGGTCACCTTAAGCCACTTGAAACTTGCACATTATTAGACTAAAATTGATTGGGCTATAAAACTGTGTATTCAGAAAAATTCTAACACTTCCGAGAAAAAAGTTTGAAATTTATATGAAAATTTTTTGCACTTTTTTGTAGTATTCTACAAATTGTTAAACTTGGGTTTATATGGGTTTTGTTAGAGAAAGAACTGTATTTTAATTGAAAATTCTTAAAAATAAATAAATAAACATAAGTGGCACACAATATCACTTTGAAATGGCGTGCTATAGATATGACCGATACTGTAGATGCAGATTTACATTTTAAAATAAGTTCCTTCAAATTTTTACCGATAATCTAATCGATAATAAATTAAATTAAATAAATATTGAGTAAAAATATCGATGATGCAAAGTGGCTGCAAAATTATTAAGAAATGTAGCCATATGACAAAACGAATAAACAATAGGAATAGAACAATTTAAGAATTTCGAGAATTAGTAACAATCTCCGAGACTTCGAAGAAAATCTGTCGTCGCGTTTTTGAGAAATTCCATTCCAAACTTCAATCACGACATGCCAAAACCTGCCGAAAGTAACATACAACAATTTTGTATCCAGGCGACGTTACGTAAATATACTATTGAATCTGAAAATTGCCACAAATTCCCGAATAAAACGAAATATGCCACATAAAATCTTAATAATCTATGTATAGTATGTCTGGGTCAAATCTTGGGTTTTGATCATGCTTTATACGGAAGAAAGCGCAACACCCTCAAAAAAAAATTTAAAAAATCAACGGTAATTTTTAGCAACTTGAAACTTGCACTTTGCTTGCACTTTGTTTACTAATATTTAATGGACTACAAAACTGAATACTCGAAAATTTCCTAGAAACTCTGAATAAAAAGTTTGAAATTTTGAATTTTTGTGAACTTTATATAAAGTGTGAAACTTTGATTTATGTGGTTTCTATTATAGAATGAACTATATTTTCATAAATAATTAATGTACAAAATTGTTCATGAAAATAACTGTTAATATTATATTAGGTGTATACTTCATTTTGACGTTCACTGTATGAACATAGATATCAGTCCAAAATATAATTTTTTATGTATAACATAATGATTCTGAAAGCTTAGAAAAGGTCGACCTTATTGTGTTAACGAAGACTTTAGATAACTGATTGTGCAGTGGAATTTCAATGTGTCTGGTGAACTCGTTGAAAATGGATAGCAAGAGTTACTTTCTCCAAACAAGAAAAGCATTGCTTAGACAACCGGCTAAGTATAGTTCGAAAAATAACTTCCAACTAACCGAAATTATATACTGTTCCTACGTTTCCATGACAGTCGGGTCTAGAACAATGGATCGGCACAGATTGTATGCTGTTACAATTATTATAACGTTCAAGATATTCTCCGAATGCCGATTGACCTGAAACAATTATTAATTAAATTAATTTAAAACAAAAGTATTCAATACCTCATACATACAACTCGTATTTTAAAGTGATCAGTTAGCAATCATACAAACTCAGTGTCCTATTCAAGTTGCTAGGTGTAGACAATCGTTTTGGTATAATTAAATAGTTTCAAAACATTCTTATCAAATATTATTTATAGTTTTTTCATCCACTTTATTTCTTCTCATGAGTTTTATTAAATCAAAAAT